CGCAACTCAACTCACCATTTTCCCCTCTTAGTCACGATTTCGGTCTGGGACACTCTCCCAATTTGACATGCATATTGTCCTTAATGCTTCGAAATTTTGGATAAGATTCTCAAACCACCATAAGTTCTTGGTCAGCTCCCAACTTGTCTCGGATTCAGGTTATCTATGCCACTTGACTAAGTACTCATCAATAATGCTCGTTTCTTGTGGTATATCACTTGGTCGGTCAATACATCTTTGGAAATCTTGTTATATGCCATCTGTATGCCTAGTGGGGCCTTTGTCGACTTATTTTGGCTCACACCTTGGGTGTTTACAACCCTCTCTCAACAAGCTCATGTTGAATACAAGGTGAAGTTAGGACAAAGTCTCTAATAGTTCCACCTTATACGTCACCTCTCCAACCGTCTATAATATCTGGAAATGGTCCTCATATATTTGCATCAAGCCCTTGTCCACTTTTCCTAATATCAAGTTTTTCTCTTTAAACTCTCACAATTTCTATTTTTGATATGTTGTTTTCTTTTTCATTCTCCTTTAGGACTAAAATTTAACTATCTCTGTATGATCTAGCCAAGATGTTGTTTGTGAAAATAAGCACGACTTTGAAAGAATTTTTCCTCCAACTTTCATTTTTCTATAAATTGAAATAAAATGATACAACATGTAGTAAGGCAATTCAATCAAATTGATATACCATCTTGTAATGTCGAATATGCACCTCTAATACACATGGTTGATATGTTTCTGTGTGACCATCAGTCTATGGCTGTATCATCATAAAAATTGTCAATTTGAACCCAAAAGTCTCAATAACTAATACTACTTTCGTCCAACTCTCGTATAAATTAAAAAAAAATTACAAAAATATTTCAATTAGTGTAGAATATTTGTACAAAAAATTATACAAATATAAAGATATTTTTAATGTTAAATACAATGACGCAAAAGGTAAATATGACCCTTAGAGGCGGACGTAAGGAGTAATACTCAGCCATGGACAGAACTCAAAGGAGCGGAACTACTTTGAGGCTTGGGGGACAAAAAAATAGCACAATTATATTGAATTTGCCCCCCTAAAATTTAATTTTCCCCAACCTCCATTTTTTTTTCCTTTTTTTTAATGTAAAAATAAAAAAAATACCCCTCTAAATTCTAAAATATTATATTTGTCTTGTTTTTTTTTTCTTTTTATTTTTATTTTATTTTTATCACACGGGTCAAAGAGAATCTAAAAATACGGTAGCGGGTCGATCAGAGGAAATCGTAATTTTGTCGCCCCAAAGGTCGGAAGTTGATTTCATCAATGTACCCATCCCAATTAAGTTATTCATACAATTTTGTTATTATATTTTTGTTCTATTTTAAGAATTTAAAACTTTTGAAGCTAATATTATATTAAATGTGAGACAAAAATATACAATTTTTTTTACTAATAACTAAATTCTAATTTTGAAAATTTGAATAAATATTAACCAGAAAAATATTATGAAGAACATAAGACAATTGCATTTGAGTTTGTTCACATTATAAAGTCACATAAGTTTCAATAAATATAATAAGATATAAAGAAATATACGTATTAATATAATATATTTAATATATATTATTTACTTATAAAAATTAATAATTTAATATAAATATATTTTTATTATCGAAATAATTCTTCATGTCTATCATTAAAAATATATTCATTCAAAAATATAAAATAAATATAATTATATAAAAAATATAAGTAATAAAAAATTGATTCTATAAAAGAATGATAAATAATATTTATAAACTATTTAAATATATTTATCAATCAAAACTACATATTTATAAAATCAAGTTATAGTATTTCAGATTTTAGTATGAATTGAAAACAAATTATTTTTTTATATTTTTAATATATATTATGAAATAAACTATATTAGTTTAAACATATTATAAAATAATTTTGTTATATATTCTATTAGTCATTAGAAGATATATTTATTTTATTTTGAATTATTATACATTCTATAACACTATTAGATTTATATATAAATACTATATGGATTTGTCATTTTTCACTTTTAAAAATATTACTAAAAGTAATTTCTATAGTAATTGTTCATAAGCAAAGAGTCTATTTTAAGTATGTAGATTTACAAAATTTTTATTTTCAAAGATATTGGAAATTACAATTTTCAGTTTACAAAAATTAGAAAAATTATCAAAAAATTATACTGTTTAATCTACATTTCAATTAAATTTTTTTTTTATATATATATATAATTTTACATATACAAGTTTTTTTATTATTATTTTAGATATTTTTCATTAAATTTTTAGAAGAAAATTTAGTTAATAGTAAAATTTAAATTCAAAAAAATTATTAACTTAATTAATTTAACTCTAGTAGTAATGTTACATAATTTATATATATATTTATTATATACAATAATTAATTCAGTAAAGAATTTATGAGAATATAATATAAACATCTTTTAGATTTTCATTTTTTGTGGGTTTTAAAGTTGAGTATAATAACATTTTTAATTATAATTATTATTTGCATCATGTAAATAAATATTGATATTATATTTTCAATATAAAATTATTTTTAAATATAATATAAATAAATAATAACAAATTGAAAATCCACAAACATTGCTAATATTTTTTATAAAACAAAAAATATTAGTTATAACATATATAAATATATATATATATATAAATATTGCTAATCAAACAGTGTTTTCCTCCAAATCAGGTCTGTTCCTCCTAAGCAGACATTCTCTACAAATGCGCAACAAAAGTTGCATTTTTTTTTTTTTTGAAAAATTTCAAATATTATATTTATTTAATATTTATAATAATTACAAGGTAAAAGAATATATACAATATATGTGTCGTTTTGTAGATAATAAAATTTTGTATAATACGAATAAATAAAAATTTAAATATATATGTTTGGTATAATATAAATTCATAATCAACTCATACAATATAAATTTTATCAATTAAATTTAACACACATTTATATTATTTTATTCATTTTCATCAAATAAATACACATCAAAACTTCTCAAATCCAACCAAATCTAAGCAAAAAAAAAAAAAAAAACAACAAAATTCAAACTCATCTCAAAATTCAAATAAAAACCAAACCCAAACTTGAAGTCCCCCAAACCCCTCTAAAGGAAAGACACCCTAAATTAATAGTACTAGATATAGCATGTTTTTATATTTTATTTTTTTAATTTTATATTTTAATATTATTAAAAGTGAAAAATTGTAATTTATAATTTTTTCATAAAAAATACTAATACTACAAAATTATTTAGAATTATTCAACTTTATATTATTATAAATAAAATAACAGGTTTTATCTAAATAAATGTTTAAATAATTATATATAAAATATAAACTTTTAATAAAATAAATGCAAAATATTTATAATTAAAAAATGTGTATAAAAAATAATTATTAAAATATTTAGTACAAAAATAATTAAATCTTGTTTATTTTATTTTATTTTTTATACCATTCTTGATACAATTATTAATATATAATTTGTATATAGGTTGCAAATTATGTGCTCATCCGACTAAGTCACATGCCTGTATATATATATATATATATATATTTCATTAAAAAAATTAAGGGAACATTTCTTTTGGTGTAGCTTGGAAAATTTTGGTTTGAATTTGATATTAAAAGTAATGTGTAATAAAATATTTTGTGAGAGAAAAGAATATATATTCCCTCCGTACCATAAGTAAATATCTATTTGCTTTTTACACGTAATTTTAGAAATATTAGCATTATATTGAGATATAGTAGAAATAAAGTAGAAATGACTAAAATAACCTTATTAGTATATGTGATATAAAAGTAATGATATTTGTGTAATATATTGTAAGTTGTAAGAGTATTTGAATGTTAAATAGACACTACAGTTACTAAAAATAAATAAATACTTTGTTATGAGACATACTAAAATAAAAAATAGATACTTTATTATGGGAGAGAGGAAATATATATATAAAGTAACTTGTGCAGCATGCACAACATTTTCAATAAAAATTTCATATGATTGAATAATTTTATATACAATCACCATGATTATTAAAAAAACACGAAAAAAAAAAAAAACACATTATAGACTCTTATTATAAAATATTTTTAGCTATATTTATTACTCTTCAATCAAAATTTATTACATTTATTTTTTTTATAATAAAAATAAAATAAAATTATCTTTATCACAGGGCAAGGAAACCAAGCTCTGAAGTTTACCGAAAACTGGGAGAGACAAAGCCGAAAATGGCAAAGTCACTAAAGGGCATTTTAGTCATTTCACATAATACAATAAGAACGGCGATTTGGAGCTCCACACCGAATGTGAAGTGTAAACGTGTCACTCGCAGATTCTTCTTATAAACTAAGGGCAGTGCAAATTCATTCATTACATACAATATATAAATAAATTAATTAATTAATTAATATTATATTAGATTACATTATAAAAAAAAAAATAGTAATATAAATGTGATAGTATTTGTGTAATATATTGTAAATTGAAAAATATTTATTATCTAAAATATGCAGTAAATTATTAAATTAAAAAATAATATATATTATTTTTATGGACAAAAATGAAAAATTAAACCAGTGTAATAGGAGAGGGAGAGAGTATATATATATATATATATATATGCATAATGTAAATTATTTATTTATTTAATTATTAAAGAATTTGCCATAAGATACTGCCCTGCTTTCTTTTTGTTCTCTTCCTCATCATCTCTTCTTCTTATCTAATCCCTCTCTGAAATAAAATAATTGAAATAATCTACAGTCGGTTATACATCACTGGGTCAATTTGGGTTCTCTATTATTAAGGCAAAAAATTGTGTCTTTGCAAAATTAATCGGAATTTAAATCTGAAAAATTTATAAAAAATTAAATTTTATATATATAGTATAATATTATTACATATATATATATGTGTGTAAGTAAAGTAGGTTGTATAAATCCAGTGACTGTATTTAATCACCCACCTCTGCCCTTTTCTTTTTCTCTCTCTCTATTTTTCCTTTCTATAGTAGCATAGCTGAAAAACAAAACCCTAAAAGGGTTCTTTGCAAGAACAATCCGCCGCCAGATTGATCTTTTCTCTCCTATATGAACTCGTGACCGAGCTCCTTCATCTATGTCAGTCCTGTTCTTGTACGAGAGCTGATGCTGCTCCCTTTTGGGGATTTTTGTTTCCGTTTTTGTTCTTCTGGTTTGTCCGGACAGTGCAATCGTGTTTATTTTTTTTTTGTTTCCTTTTGATTTGAAAATTTTGAATTCGAGGGAATATATGGCGTTTTTGCCAAGTCAAGATTTTTTGGGGTTACGGCTTCTCGACTTGTGGTGAAAGTGAGGTTTGATCGTATGGTTTCGAGGGTGTTGTTCGTCGTCGAGAACTGAGGTTTTCCGAAGCTTCATGGTCAAAGGTTTGGTTCTCGAAGGCTTAGCTTTTCGATTTGTTGTCGTTTGTTTGTGTTCTTGTTCGATTTAGGGTTCGATTGGTTAAACTTTTGACCCGATTTTTTTAGAAATGAGTTTTGCTCATGGTTTCGTTTTTTCTTTATCTTTGTGAAATGTGCAGAGGGTAATTGGGGGTTTTGATTTCGCCGGAGAATCATGTTGTCCGAATTCGGGAGGAGGCCGATGATTGGTAGTAACGATAATTCGTTCGAAGATGAGCTGGAACAGGACATAGGGTTGCTCCTCCGCGAGCAGCGGCGGCAGGAGGCTGATGATCTTGAGAAGGAGCTGAATTTGTACCGAAGTGGATCTGCTCCGCCGACGGTGGAGGGTTCGTTGAGTGCAGTCGGAGGACTGTTCAACCATGGAGTTTCTGCCGCTGCCGCCGGCGCCGCCATTGTAGGTGGAGGAGGTGGAATTGTTTCGGGTTTTCCGGAGTTCGAGAGAAATAAGGTTGCGAATGGATTGTCTGAGGACGAGCTAAGGTCTGATCCGGCTTACTTACAGTACTATTACTCGAATGTGAACCTTAATCCGAGGCTGCCGCAGCCATTGGTGTCTAGAGAGGACTGGCGATTTGCGCAGAGGTTGCAAGGAGGGAGTTCGGCGATTGGGGATAAGAGGAAAGTGACGAAGAACGATGACGGCAATGGCGGGAGGTCTTTGTTCTCGATGCCGCCTGGTTTTAATTCGAAGAAGCCAGAAAGTGAGTGTGAGAAGGAGAAGTTGCAGAGCTCGGTGGAGTGGGGCGGCGATGGACTTATCGGTTTGCCGGGATTGGGTCTCGGTGGCAAACAGAGAAGTCTTGCGGAGATATTTCAGGTTTCTATTCGAAATTGTTTGTTCGAATGAATTATGTCTTTACTTTTATGTTGTTTGTATGTTCTAACCTTGTTTGATTTCGCCTTTGTGTTTTTGAGAGAATTGGTATGAAATTTATTCCATATCGTGATTAGAGTTGTCGTTTTTGTCGATAATTTCCATTCCCTTTTGTATACTTTTCTTGGTTCTTTTTTTGTCCATTTGGAGTTAATTTACCTTATTGTTGACGTACATGTGTCTAGTGTATCGGTTGCAATTCGATATTTTTCAGATAAAGATTATATTTATGATTTGGTTTCTACTGGCACCGTTGTCGGTAGGTGATGTAAAATTTTCTTCGAATTCAGAGCCGGTAGGTTTATCGAAATGCCAATTTCTGTGTAGATATTGATGAATTCCGTTACACTTTTGTTGTGAAAAACAATATTTATGGCTCCGTGCTGTGTTTTGGTTTTAAACATTGCTCATCTTCGCAGGATGACATGAGTCGTGCCGCCCCAGTTTCCGGCCACCCCTCACGCCCAGCTAGCCGAAACACTTTTGATGAGAATTCAAGCGGCGTTGGTGTAACGGAGGCTGATCTGGCTCATCTTCATCGTGAATTGACACCTTTGGATCCGGTGCACTCGGCTGGAAAGATCTCAAGCTCATCTGCCGCGCAGCTTAGTGGGCCGCCTGCGTCATATTCTTATGCTGCTGCTTTAGGCGCATCTTTGTCGAGGAGCTCAACGCCGGATCCTATTGCAAGAGTCCCGAGTCCGTGCCCTAATCCTATTGGCGGAGGCAGGACAGTGAAATCGGAAAAAAGAACCATGAACAGTCCAGGTTCCTTTAATGATGTGTCTTCCTCTACGAATGAATCTGATCTGGTTAATGCTCTTTCTGGGATGAATCTCTCGAACGGAAATGGAATTATGGACGAGGAGAATCATTTATCATCTCACATTGAACAGGATGTCGACGACCACAAGAATTACCTTTTTAATCTCCAGGGAAGCCAGAACAATGCGAGGCAGCAACATTACCTGAAAAAACACGAAGCTGGACAGTTCAACATTTCTTCGGCTGCTCAGTCGGGGAAATTTATGCCGTCTGATTCTAGTCTAAACAACAGCAGTGGTTCCGAGATGCAGAAAAACGGCGTTCCTTCTAATAACTCGTATCTCAAGGGATATTCTAATACTGGAATGAATGGCGGCGGGGTTCTACTTTCACAAAATCAGCATCTGGACAGTCCCAATTCGTCTTTTTCGCATTATGGATTGAGTGGTTACCCGATGAGCCCGATATCGGGTCAGCTCGGTAGCCCCAATTTGCCGCCATTGTTTGAGAATGCTGCTGCTGCATCAGTTATGGCTGTGCCTGGAATGGACTCGAGGATGTTTGGCGGGTCGAATGTTGGCGCTACTGCTGAGCAAAGTCTGAACAGAATTGGGAGTCCAATGGCGGGGGGTGGATTGCAGGGTCCTTATCTCGATCCTTTGTATCTGCAGTACATGAGATCAGCTGAATATGCCGCCTCACAAGTCGCGGCGCTTAATGATCCTTCTGTCGATAGGAACTTAATGGGGAATTCGTATGTGGACTTGCTTCAGAAAGCCTATCTTGGGAATTTGTTATCGCCACAGAAATCACAGTATGGTGTTCCGATGGGTGGAAAAACTGGTGGGTCGAGTCCTCATGGTTACTATGCTAATCCTGCATTTGGCATCGGGTTGTCGTATCCTGGGAGTCCTTTGGCGAGTCCTATTATGCCGAATTCAGCTGTCGGACCTGGTAGTCCATTGAGACATGGTGATTTCAATATGAGATACCCGAGTGGGATGAGAAATGTTAATCTTGGACCCTGGAGCTTGGATAATATCGATAACAGTTTTGGTTCTTTACTGGAGGAGTTTAAGAGCAATAAAACCAAATGTTTCGAACTTTCTGAGATTGCTGGCCATGTTTTTGAGTTCAGGTATTTGTTTCTCTTGAAGATGTTCTTCTGTTTGTATTGTTGTATGATCTGACCTGTTTTTCGTTCACTCCTTGCATTCTCAACTCAGTACTGACCAATACGGAAGCCGTTTCATTCAACAAAAGCTTGAAACTGCGACAGTCGAAGAGAAGAACATTGTTTTTGAAGAAATTTCTCCTCAAGCTCTTATCCTAATGACTGATGTGTTTGGTAATTATGTAATCCAGAAGGTATCATGATCTGCGCTCGACTTCTCATTGATATTAGTGAGTTTTCTTTTAATTTAAATCTTAGTTTGATCTGTTGCTAATTATATGCCTTCTCAGTTTTTTGAGCATGGAATGGTGCCTCAAAAAAGAGAATTAGCAGAGAAACTCTTCGGGCACGTACTTAACCTAAGCCTTCAAATGTATGGTTGTCGGGTGATCCAAAAGGTACCATTAAATCGTGATTAAAACCTTTAGTTTAACCAGAATATCATTCTTCAAAAAATCAAGCTTAGTTCAATCATCACGTGTTGCAAAAGTTAAAAGGTGTTTGGATACTTGAATTATCATAAATGTTGTCGAATTATGTAGGCAATAGAAGTTGTTGAGGTGGATCAGAAGATCAAAATGGTGCAAGAACTAGATGGGCATGTGATGCGTTGTGTGCGTGATCAGAATGGGAATCATGTCATTCAGAAGTGCATTGAGTGTGTACCCGAGGAGCATATTCAGTTTATTGTGTCGACTTTTTTCAATCAAGTAGTTACTCTCTCAACTCATCCATATGGCTGCCGTGTTATACAGGTTAGGGACAAGTGCTTGAATATTTTTTCTGTGGCGTTTCTGCTTTATATCATAATATTTTATGTTTATGTCAATTCGACAGCGAGTTCTGGAGCATTGCAAGGACGAAAAAACCCAGAGTGATGTGATGAAAGAAATTCTGGGGTCTGTAAGTATGTTGGCACAGGATCAATATGGAAATTATGTCGTTCAGGTATATGAACTTTTGCAAACTTTCTTCCAAAATGTGTAATATGCTTCTGATCAGGTATTGTTTTCTGTTTACGTGTATTTTCAAATCACATTTGACAATATTCATCATACAATGCATTTTTTGAAAAACATAAGATCGAATATTTATTTTTCATTTAAATATTCCGTCAAGAATCTATTTTCTATACAAAACATCATATCCACCAAAAAGATCCAACTTATTACTATTCCACTATTCTCCAAAACTCGAACACTTTCAAAACATATTTAAGAACTACTACTTGATTCTAATCCCTGGCATTGTTTCGACATTTTTTAGTGGGTCGCGTAAGTTTTTTATGCTGGAGTTTTTATAATTTCGGGTGCAATTTTGTAACACCTTCAGTAGAATGTTCCCTCATCTTTGTCTTCGTGTTGATAATATTCGCTCCTCGAGACTGATTGGGCAAAGTCATTTTTTGAAAGAGTGGCAAATGCTTCATTTTGAGATGAGTGGCATATATGATCTTGTTCTCGTGTCCCAAAATATTGTGTTGTCATTTGAAAGAGCTTGAGAAGTGTTCTTTTCTGATTTTGTGAACTTTTTATTTGTGCTGGGTTAATTAACAGCATGTTTTGGAGCATGGAAAGCCACATGAGCGTTCAGCCATAATTCAAGAATTAGCTGGAAAGATAGTTCAGATGAGCCAGCAGAAGTTTGCGTCAAATGTTGTTGAGAAGTGTTTAACCTTTGGCGATTCTGAAGAACGTCAACTTCTTGTGAATGAGATGCTTGGAACAACCGATGAAAATGAGCCTCTTCAGGTACGTTTCTTCCTTCTGCTCATAGTAATCTTTGATTATAACTTCCTCGTATTATTTAGGCAAAATTGCTATGGTTTGGAAAATTTGCATTATTCTCCTTGTGAAACTGCATGAATCCCTCTCGTGTTCTCAAAAAATCGCACATGATACCCTAACCATTGCATAATTCCCTAATTGCAATGTTTTCGGAAACACGGAGGAGCCTTACACAATTTTTGGGATTTTGTTCAATTTTGTATAAAGTAGGGTTGGGATCAGGTGTTGATCCCGTCAAGTCAACACGGCGGATTAACATATATTATAAGGGTGATCAACAATATTTATATATATCTCAATATATTTATAGTGTTAACATATATTATATTATAATTCAGCATATGTTATCTTAAAATACAACATATGTTGAGAGATATATATAAACATATGCTAGTCATCCTTATAGCATATGCTGATCCGATTAAATTAGCACCATGTTGACTTGGCCGGATCAGCACAAGATCTGCCGGCTATAAAGTACGAGGGAGTTATAACCTACATGTGGTTTGTGGATAATTTGCACAATTTCCCTTGTGAAACTTTGAGTCCCTCTCGTGTTTTAAAAAATATCACACATAATACCCTAAATATTGCACAAAATCCCCTAATTGCAATGTTTTCGTAAACACAAGGGAGTCTTACTACCTAATTTTTTGGGATTTTGTGCAATGTTTTATAAAATATGAGAGAGTAATGAAGTTTCTAAATGGAGTATATTCGGAAACATAGGGGATCCTTAAACAATTATTTGGAATTCTATGCAATATTTTACTATAAAATATGGGAGAGCTTATGTAGTTTCTAAATGGAGTATAGGCGTACTAGATAATGGGCCTATCGTATAATTTTGACTTACGAAGACATTGCTATCTTTTGGTTAAAATTGCCAAATGTTTGAAGTTCTCACTGATTTTATGGAGGATTTAGACTTGAATTGATCTTGCTCATGTACTCACATTGGTAAGTTAATTGTAGGGAAAGCGATGTTGGAATTCTTTTTGAAAAACTATTAGTCTATATATGTTATTATTTGGTAAAGTGGAATAGAAGCATCATCTGTGCTTTGATGGGTGCATATTTTCGTAGATTTGTATATTGAGTTGAATATCTTTGATATTTTTGTGAGAATTCTTGAGCAAGGCTATGTTCTCTTTTTAATTTTTTTGAAAGTTCTTTTACTATCCATCAATCACGATTTTATATAAAAATACATTGTTTTCACCGACAAAACATCACATCCAACCACTACTTAAATAAACAATCTAAACCTAACCAAAACAAAACCAAACTCACAAGGAACAAACCTAAACGTTGTTCTTTTGTGTTTTGATTTTTGTTTTGTACTTCTTTTGTTTTAGAGTATGTTTGTTTGTGGGTTTGGGAGTTGAGTTAGGTGTTTTGAATAGTAAAAATTAGAATTAGAATAGTTTGTTGGGTTAATCTATCACATGTTTTGTATTGATATTATTTTAAATGTAAAATTGATTTGTAGTCTAATATAAAGAAGAAAATAGACGTCTGATTTGATGTTTTGGAGAAAAAATTAATAGGAAAGAGAGAGAGAGGAGATGTTGAAGCCTTTTGGATTAGAAACTTTTGAGGATATTGTTCATAGAAGTATCTTTCGACAATCGATCTCTTTTAACCATATACATGTTTTGCCAAATAATCTCCAAGCAGGCCATGATGAAGGACCAATACGCAAATTACGTTGTTCAGAAAGTGCTGGAGACTTGCAGCGATCAGCAGCGCGAGCTTATCCTATCCAGAATTAAAGTTCATCTGAACGCGCTCAAGAAGTACACATATGGAAAGCATATTGTAGCTCGTGTAGAGAAACTTGTTGCCGCCGGGGGTATACACAACTCTTTTTAACTTCCAATAATCGACTATACATTATTCATTGCTAAGGTTTTTGCGGTATGTTTTTGGGACAGAACGAAGAATAGCTGCTCAGGCCCCGCGCGTAGGCGTCGCGTAAATGAAGGTGCCGTAGGAAAGAGTTGTTGTATGTACAGCTAACCGAGGCTAGTTTGGGCTACCTCCTCTTTATTCTCTCTCTCTCTCTCTATATATATATATGTTTCTTCCGACTGCTTGTATGCGGGACTTTTTATCTGTACTTTTTCGGCGAGTGTATGAGCAGACAGAATGGAAATAAAAAATGTCGTTGCCTGTCTGTCGTGTAGCGTTAAGATTATACATAAGAGTCGAGTCGAGCTGAGGCTGAGGCGCGCCGGGACAGATGAGGATGCAGATGCAGATGATGAGAGGTGTAATATGTATAATCTGTATCTATATATATATAGATATAGATATGTGGATGGAAGAAAGGGAGTGTGTATTGAGAGAGGTAGTGTTTGGTATGATGATGACTGTACAAATCAAGTGTGGAGAGATGGTTGTTCTTTTCATAATCATCTTCTTTGTCTTTGTTTTTTATCTTGATCTTGTTCTTGTTTTTGTTTGTCTCTTTTTCTCTCTGATAAGGTTGTTTTGAGTTTTAGTTGAGGCTATATATATATATATATATATATATATAGATACCCGTTACGGATTTTAAGAAAAATAGAAAGAATAGGAATTTTTGCATTTTTGGGTAAAGAAATAATAAAAAAAAATAGTATTCTTTTACTGAAAAAGAGGTAAAGAAATAATAAAAAAAAAGTAGTTTTTTTAACTGAAAAAGAAAAGAAACGAGAATAATTTTAAATCAGAAAATAGATTTAGGTCAACCGTTATTTATAGCTAACCAAATTGTCTATGTGTATGTATGATTGAGTGTATTGTGTGTGCTGCCATTTCATGAAGGTTCACTTTCTTGTTATATCTTCAATCAATCATTAGGAAAACTTTGGATTGGAAGTTTTAGGGTTTTGAATTGGAAATTTTGGATTTGAATAATGCATGGTTTTGATATAATTTAAAGTTGATATGATGTTTTTCTAATATAAAATTACTTTTACATTAATAAAGTATATATATAATTTCATATTTTTAAGAGAAAAAATTATTTAATCTTTTCTTCAGTATTACTTATTTATTTTTATTTTTGTTTGTCTCAAAATAAAAGTGTTAGCTTTTTAAATTTAGTAGTTGTACTACTTATTAAATATAATAAATATTCTTATCATTTATAATTTATTAAAATAGGAATATTTTTATTTTATTTATTGTTTTGTACTATAATCTCTATGATACTAATATTTAAAAATTTATGTATAAAAATAAATGACAATTTTCTTTCAAGAACGGAAGGACAAATATTTGAATGCTCCAGTTACAAATTCGTTAGTACAATTTCGCACACGATTTCACTTTAAGTTATCGCACACGATTTAACTTTAAGCTAAAAAGTAAAAATATTACAAAATGCACCCGCAAGTAGAGTGTACATTAGCTATCTGAAAAGTGAAGTACACGGATTCTCCCCTCTATATAGGCACTCTATAATAGACCGGGTCTAATATATGCCAAAGTTTATCTACACTTTATCTATACAAGATATGGATAAATAAGCTATATAAAGAAATACAAATAAGTTATATCAAATAGATAGACATTAACTCAATCAAATAGGCGATCTCGGTACTTCTAGGATATTCCGAAGTATTGTAGGAGATTTCAGAAATTCCGGAAAGTTCGGAACATCTCGAAGTCCGAGACACTAGAAATTTGCTAGACTGAGTTGGAAACTTAAAAAAAAAAAAAGAACTCGAGTGTTTTAGGGGTTTTTACTTTTTATTTTTGACTAAATGTATTTTTTTTTTATGCTAGTAGTTTTATTAAATTGGTAATTTTGTTGTTGGTGAATAAAATATTTATATTATATATTGTGTTAATATATACTCCCTCTGTCCCGGTCAAGATGACACAGTATTTTAGGTAGTGTAGATTTGCAAGTTATTAATAATAAGTTATGATATTATTTTATTATTTTTATATGAGTAGTGTTGTTGACATTTTAAATATTTTTAGCATTATATATCAATAAAATATATACAATATGGATATCATTTTGTAGAGAATAAAATTTTATATAATACAAATAAATAAATAAAAATTAATTTATTTATTTATAATTAACTTAAAACTAATTTTATTAAAAATAAGAAGTTTTAAATACAGATGAAAATATTTATTTGTTGAGGAGATATAGAAATAAAGGGTCTTGAGTGGGTCCTACGTGTAAGAGGTTAGAAATTTAATTAAATTGATTTATATTTGTTAAATATGTTTAAGATGAATAAATTTACTAATGGTGTGTTTGTTTGGGGGTTTGGATTTTGAGTTGGGATTTGAATAGTAAAAATTTTGAATTTGAATAGTTGTACGATGTGATATAAATAGGTGTTGATATGATATTTTGAATGTAAAAATAATTTTTAGCATGATATAAAAAATAAAAAATAAGTGTTTGATTTGATGTTTTTGGGGGAAAAAATTGGAAGAATAGTGTAAATCCAATCTAATCCCCCAAACAAACACACCCTAAAAATAAAAATTAGTCATCTTTAATGACACGGACAAAAAAGAAAAATGGGTCATTTGTCGCGGGACGGAGGGAGTATTATATTTTTTTATAATATTTTTAAAAATTGTATTACTCAAAAATAGATTAGTTGAATAAACCATTTGTTTACCTAAATTTAATTTTGGTTTATATGTGATGTTTTACAATATAATAATGATTTTTTATTGTAAACTATAAAAGTTGTATAGTAAAAGAAAGAAAGAAAATAAACTTGTTACTAATAATATATATATATTTTAATTTATTTACAATGTATGTGTTGGATCCCAAGTCCAAATGACTCAAAGTTGAAGGTACTTTCACAGGCCTCTAGACAATAAGCTCCATCAACTCTGAGTTGGTAATTTTGTTCTATAGATCAAAATGAAAGAAAAAAGAAGGAAGATTCTATGTAACTCGATGCTGTTGAGGACATATCCCCATAGACCGGCTAGGAGTATGACGGAAGCAAGTCAAGGTAAGTTGCAGGTCTGATCTAGAGACAATTGAAGAAGTTCAGAACGAATGGAACTCGGTCCATAGACAATGGAAGCGGTTGGGAGCTGGTGGAAAGAGGTTACCTGGCGGTTAAGAGAAGTGGAAGAATAATTGCAACTGCCCATTTTAGTGGAAGAGGTGGTTATTCTAACTTAGGATTAAAATTAGGAAAAAACACAACACATACGCACAACCAGATCAAATCGTCTATTTCTCTATTTTTTCTTTCATGTTCTAGTTTCGTTTATGCAATTTAATTCAAGATACTCATTTCTGCAATTTATTTTACTTGCTTTTCATAGATTATCGTAATTTAGTTCGATTAATCACGTAAGATCTCGATCACCCGACGACGGATTGGCTCTTTGGAGTACTTTCGGAATCCACACCGACAAAATCGACGAGCTATTTTGGAACCTCCGAATATCAGGATCCAACAATATGTTTTATTATTTTTTGATAAAAATAAATTACTATTATAGTATTGATTTTTTTTTTGTTAATAAAAAAATTTACATTTGAATACAAAATACAAACACAAGTTAAATATTCTCTCTATCAACCTAGTATACATATTTCTATTTTGAGACCTTCAATTACAAAGTAAATATTTCATTAAATATATTATTTTTTACTCAAATACTTTTAATTTACATCACATCATTATTTTTACATCAAAAAATAAGAACAAAAATGTCATTACACTACACTGTTTTAACTGTCCACTAATAAAATAAATATTTATTTTGTTCATGAACTGAGGGAGTATGATATTATTAAATTAGAAATTAAAATATAGGACGTATTTTTATTTTTTTTTTAATTTTTTTTTCCTTTTATCGGAAACATTCTTGTGTTTAATTAACAAAACATTGTTTTTTTTTTTTTGTTTTTTTTAATGTTTTTTGAATTTGAGGTGCTTCTTTATGGTAGGTAAACAAATAATAATTTCTTATTGAATTATTAATTTTTTTAATAAATAAATTAATTATATTATATATTTTGTATATATATATATATTAGATTTTTAATAATATTAATAAAAAAACGTGTGAAAAGTTTTTGATTGAATGAATAAACAAATACTCCTTCCGTCCCAATAGGTCTTACTTATCACTTTTGTTCGTCTCAAAATAATAGTCTCATTCTCATAAATTATCCTTACTTTTTCATTATTATTACACAATTGTCACTACTTTTTACACTAATATACTCGATAAGGGCAAAAAAGTCATTTATCCTTACATTTTATCCACTATTAATATAATATCAATATTCGTTAAATCTCGTGTCAACCCAATATAACTATATTTTTGAAACGGATAGAGTATTAATTTATATTATTAATACAATTTTACGTATTTAATATAAAAATGCAGAGTGAATATATCCTATTTATATATATAAGAAAAAACATATAATATATATTTTCATAAGCCACGCGAGTACATAATTTAATTATTAGACGAGTATAGGTAGAGTAGAGATGTGTACTTGTTATGTATAGTTTGTAGAAAATCTGTCCAAACGGGTTTGAGGGGCGGATTGATCTACAATCCATCATAATCCGCAAATAAATTGGTTATTTGCGGGTCAATCCGCGGCGAGATGGATCAAAATTTCATCAGTCCAATTTAATCCATCTGTGGCGATCTAAGCAGGCTAGCCTACAAGTCTTTTAAAAAGACTAAAAGAATATTAATATTATAAATATTTTTGTAATTAATATTTAAAAATAGTTTTATTGTAGAATATTAAATAATAAATATTATAAAGTAAATAACAAATATAAAAATTCTCAATTCTAAATATTATTAATTGGTGTATCTAAAAAAAATTAATAATAAGAAATACTTCATTTTAGAAATAAATCATAATTAATTTTATGAATTTGTAAAATTATAAAATAATAAAATAGAAGACGAACAAAACAAATGATGAAAAATCAAAACAAATAACAATGTCATGAATAACATAGTTAGAGAAAAAAAAAAAAACAATCGTGCAGACAATATTGATAATATAAATTTTATTTTATTCGTTTTAACTTATTTATAATGATATATTTGTAATTTATAAAAAATTAAAATATATTGTTATATTAATATTTGATTAGCTTTATTGTAATTTTTTATATAATTGTAAAAAAATGATAAAAAATACCTTTAATAAGAGTAAATACTCATTATTATATTTACTTGTTCAAGATAATTACGTATTTACAAAATATTGGCTCAATTCATCCGAAACTTGGATCGAAACTTGTCCTTAGGACAAATCAGCTAAATCAAGCTAAGCTTTTGCGGATTATCCGCCCCATTGCGGGCTAGCCCATACTCAATTTGTGGCCCATGTGGATTAATTTATTTAAACTCGTATTTTAACAGATTTAAAAAGAAAAACACAACTCAATCCTCCTTGAAGGAGCGTAACATCCCAAAATGATGAACCCATTTTGACTTTGTCGGTATGTTTTAAAAGTCAAAGGAAAGCGAAAAGTCAGTGTACCTTTTGACCTGCGTAAAAAGGCAGTTAGAGAGAGAGAGACTGTTGAGTATGGCCTGCTCATACAATACAAGTCCAATTTCCTTAAGATGAAGACGACGAATCAATCCCTCTTTCTCTCACTCTCACTCATCTCATTCCGTGTTTCTCTCTCTCTGTCCTCAAAATTTCCTGGTAATTTCTTCCCCAAATGATCCCAATTCGAGGCTGAGATTTGAGATACCCTTAGCTTATTCCCTTTTCTGCTCCAATGGCTGCAATTCTGACCTACCCCCATCTCCCCGCCGAAGATATTCTTCCCTCTTTCAGGCCTCCGTTGGGCCGCTCCGTGAGCTCCGGCGCGGCCGGAGTTGGCGCAGTGTATGTGGCGGTGGGGAAGTCGGTGGAAAAGGCCGTGACATTGCTGCGGTGGACTTTTACTGCGTTTCCTGGACAGGAGATTTGCCTGCTTCACGTTCATCGCCCTTCGCCTCTCATTCCAACTCTCTGTAAGTAATTTCGTTCCCATGGCGGATGGTTTGACTCAATTTAGGTTTTGGTTGATTGCTTTGAATTGATATTATTTAATTTCAAAATTGTTTGTGTTGAATTGCTTGGTTTTGGATTTGGCTAATTTGGTTGAGTTCTGTTGCTTTGCTTGCTTTAATTGAGATAATGATTTTGGGAAGAAGATTTGCAGTTTCATTTAGGCATATCTAATTATCGATGAAGTGAAGAAAATGCAGGACTTGTGTTCATGGAGTTCATAGCTGTTTTTGATGTTTCTTTTCATAGAAATGGTTTTATGCTATAGCAAGGGAACAAAATGCTCTATCGCTAGCCAAAATCTTGCTGCTCGGTTTTCGTCGTTTTGGTTATTTCATTTTGCTTGAATGTTCTTGCAGTGGGAAAACTCCCGGCTAGTCGAGCGAATCCGGAAACTGTGGCAGCTTATAGACATGAAGAAAGGGAAGAGGCTGAGAAGTTGTTGTCCACTTACTTGAGGACATGCAACAAATCGAGGGTATTGTTGCTAATATTGCTACCGTGTTAGTGATGCCTGAGTTTCGAATCTTTTGATAGTCCTTGAGCCTGTTCTTGCTCCATTAATGATAAAAATAAACACTTCATTGTTGCTTTAGCTTTTAACTGTATATCGTAGCTAGAAAATTGTTGAAGTTCTATAGATTGTTGGTGTAGTGAAAAAGGATCCTGTATTAAGATATCGATGATTGTTTGAGGTGTTGATGATTCTTGTGCAGGTTAAAGCGAGCGTAATTGTAACTGAAGCTGATGAAATTCAGAAAGGAGTTGTAGATTTAGTCAATCAACACATGATCAGGAAACTTGTCATCGAAGCCACTCCATGGTATGTTAATTTTCGCAGTGTGATCTGTTTTTCGATTAGCTCACTTTATGCTATCTGCCTTTGTGAATCCTGAAAGTGAATTCTAACAAGTTTTAACTTTTAACAACCTCATTTGTTGAACTTAATTTCGAATTGGTTGAGCCTATTCATCAATACAGTGCTGATTCTCAAATTTGTAAACTTGTTAATTAGGATTGCTTCATCTGAATTCGACAAATTGTGTTTCACTTGAGAATCAATAGAATGTGGTGTTAGTTATTTATACTAAACAATCCGCACAGTTTCATGAAAGGGAAACGGAGCTCCTGCAAGACGTGCCATGCTGCAAGAAATGCCCCGTCTTATTGTGAGATTTTTTTTGTGAACAAAGGAAAGCTAATCTGGACAAGAAAGGCATCTGTGAGCCCAGAAATTGTTTTACCAAGCCCTCACATGGCCACTGCTTGCGGACAAAATTTAAGGTCTTGGTCTTTCAATTCCGGGCAGAATGAGGTTGTTATTTATCATGACTTTCGTAATTTAATTTGGCTAGAATAGTATGCTGACATGATTAAAATAGGTACAAAGAGAAGCATCTCAACCAGAGATAACCTTATTGACTGGTGTTTCACCCTGTGATGAAAATATATACGATCAACGACACGGGCTTTGTTCATCGTCATCAATGAGTAGAACCTCTGGAAAATTTGAATATGTCACTTCTGCAGAATCAAGACGGTCTTGCAGCTCAAGTGCAAGGACTCTCGGCAACTGCTCCTTTGATCGACATAAGGAATTGACATTTGAAGCTGACAAGTCAAATGATGAAACTAATGTAATGCTCCTGGAGCAGAAACAATTGGAAGCAGAAGCTCTCGAAGCATTTGATAAGGTGAATATTGGTACCATTAAAACTTATATAAAGTTTTTTGGTTCTTAATCCATTATGTGAAGACTTGATATGATTATTTAGGTTAAAGCTTTGGAAATGGCTGTGTCACATGAAGTTAAACTAAGAGTAGATGCTGAGGGTGAATTTAGAACTACGGCGCAAGAGCAAGAAAGGCTTTTAGGAGAGAGAGAGAAACTAACTCGACAGCTACAAAAGACTATGAGGAGTATAGCTGTTCTAGATTGCCAGGCGCACGAAGCAAGCCGCAGGTGTCAAGAAGTTGCTGCAGAGTTAAGGCTGATTCAGGCTTCGATTGCGGCTTTACATAAGGAAAAGCTGAAACTCCAAGAGCAGAAAATTGAAGCTATGACATGGCTCGACAGATGGAGAAATCATGAACATTGTGTGGTAGATGTGAATGGAAACCAATTTGTTGAATTGGTGACAGAGAATTCTGAGGTGCTGGAGTTCTTGTTGTCGGATTTGGAGGCGGCTACTTGCGATTTCTCTGAAAGCTTCAGGATTGGACGGGGAGGATATGGAGTTGTGTACAAGGGAGAAATGCTCGACAGGACCGTCGCGATCAAGAAGCTGAATTTGCATAATATGCAGAGACAGACAGAGTTTCACAAAGTGGTAAGTCCTCTATTTTGTAATTTTCAATCTTCATCTGTCATTCAAATTTATGTTCATTTTTTCTTTTGGGTTAAAAAAATAATAATTATTAATCACTTTTATTAAAATCCGTGCTCAAGACGAAAGGAATAATAAATAGCATATAATATGATGATAGACAATACATACACTTATAAGTTTTGATATTTTTGCCCTTTGACTTTATATGTTTGTAATTTAAATAAAAGTTAAAAAGATATTTTGGTATTAGTGTATAATTACTTTTACTCAAAAATAAAAAAAATACTTTATAAATTAGGACGGATGAAGGATACATGTTGCATACGCTTTAAATATGAACAATATGTTTAGTTATTTGAAAACATGTATTGACTGGATCAAATCAGTATGGTGCTCGACAATTATTTAACCATTTTGTTCGGAAAACGCAGGTTGAAGTTCTTAGCAAACTACACCATCCTCGTCTCGTGGAATTCATCGGAGCATGTCCGGAATCATGGTTGCTCGTCTATAAATATTTACCTGGTGGTAGCCTCCGAAATTACCTTTCCAACAATCACAACGTTGCCATCCTCAACTGGAAGACCCGAGCACAAATTGTCGCGGACATAGCCGGTGGCCTTCTATTCCTGCACTCCTTCGCGCCTACGCAGATTGTCCATGGAAACTTGAAGCCCGAAAACTTACTCTTAGATTCCGAATTCAGATGCAAAATAAGCGATTACGGAGATCACATGCTGACGCCGAACCAGACCCTCCGTTGCCCCAGCTTTCGCCATTGTTCGGGATCGAGTGGTGCTTTCTTGTACACGGATCCGGAATATCATAGAACGGGAATGCTGACTTATAAGTCGGATATATATTCATTCGGGATGATCATACTTCAGCTTGTCACGGGAAACACTCATGGAGGAGTAGTCGCCAAGGTGAGCCGAGCATTGTCCAGTGGGAAAGTTGCTTCTGTTTTGGATTCATTTGCCGGAGAATGGTCGAGTTACGCCGCTCGGAGATTGCTGGAGTTGGGATTGCAGTTCTCCGAATTGAACGGTAGAGATAGACCCGAGCTGACTCCCTCGCTCGTTAAGGAGCTCGAGCATTTGCCGTTCTTGGAAGAGCAAACCGTGCCGTCCTTTTTCTTGTGCCCGATTCTTCGTGTAGGTGCTTCTTTTGGATAAACTTTCTTTCGATATTTCCCTTTTCTTGCGGATTACTTTCCCTTTTTTTTTTTTTTAGCTCGTGGTGATAACGTGTTATGTATTCAGGAAATTATGCACGACCCGATGGTGGCTGCGGATGGGTTTACGTATGAGGGCGAGGCGTTGCGCGGATGGCTGGAAAACGGGCACGAGACATCTCCGATGACGAATTTGAAGCTAAGTCATTTGAATCTGATTCCTAACCATTCTTTGAGACTTGCTATTCAAGAGTGGCTTGTGAATCTGAAAATGGAGTCATGAGATAAATGAAATGAGATTTTTTGATCTCTGATATACAGATAGACAGGCAATATGGCATGTAAGTGACTAAATTGAGTAAGGAAAATTTATAGATTTGTCCATTTTAGCTGCTGTGGTACGGAGTTTTTAGATATTGGATAAATAGTAAGTAATTAAAAATATATTGATAAAAGTAATTATAATTTAATAAAAATAATTATAATTTAATTAAAATAAAAAAATTATAAATTATGAATTTTAAAATATAATTAGAATATATAATTATATTTCTAATAAAGAAAATGCTAATTGTAGCAGATTAGTATTTATTGCCTATACATATATCGGTTGTGTTTTTAGGTATTCTTAATATTTATAAAAAAAATTATTGTCAAAATATTAAATTATTTATGTTGTATTATATATATATATATATATTGTTAATGTGGTATTTAAATTTTTTTTAATCTTACAAGAACATATACTAATATAAGGCAGAGTATAAAAAATGATTTTTTAAAAAAAATATTATATTTCTTTCGTTCCAAAAGTATAGACTTATTATATTGAGCACGAAATTTAAGGAAATATTGATATTATATTAGTAGTTGGTAAAAAATAAGGATAAATGACTTTTTTGCCCCTGTGAATATATCAGTGTAAAAAGTAGTGGCAATTGTGTAATAACGATAAAAAAATATGGATAGTTTTACGGTGATACAGTTATTTATGAAAATAATATTATTGTTTTGGGACGGAAAAAAAATTGATAAACAAGACTATTGTATTGGGACGGAGGGAGTATTATATTATTTATATTATATTAAATTATTCAAAATTTTATTATTCAATTTCAAATTCAACACAACCACACTTTATTGTCTCTAACGAAAAAAGAAAAAAAATTTAATATTTTATTGATTAATACCAACGTATAAAATTATTTTGATATTTTTGTTATTTGTATCTTTTATATATATATATATAATATTTTATGCATACTGATATGTTTTAATTCATGTAAAAAATCGAAGATATTTCAATATATTATTGTTTTTACAACAATAAAAAAATATTTTATCTCACAAAACTGATATCAAATATTATTTAAATACAAAATTTAAACGAAAAAATTTCAATTTAAACCAAAGTGACACTCCATTTAGATAGAGAGTTGTCCGATTTTGAAAAATTTAGGAATACAAATATCTATGTATATATATATATATTTAATTTAATGTTTTGTGATGTAGTATTTTTAAAAAATTGAAGGGTCTGTTTGGTTGACATCTCACAACCATTTGGTACTACACTCTCAATTTTTTTTTAAAAAAGATATTAATGATGAGATTCACTTCAAACTTGTTCAAAATTTTTTCTTTTTATCTCAATTTTTAATAAACAAACTTTCTATTCATTTGTAAATTTAATTTATTTTAATTATAAATAAATATTTTTTTATATATATTATATTATATAAAAATTTGTTCTCTACAAAATAATACCCATATTATTTATATTTTATCAAATATAATCATTAAAATAATTAAATACATATTTTAACTTTTTTAATTTTATATACTCCCTCCGTCCCGGTTGTCGTGTCTCGTGTAGTGTAGTCACGAGAATCTAGAATGAGTATAATTAGTAAATAATTAAGAATGTATTAGTAAAAATGATTATTATATAATAAAAATAATTTTAGATTAATATTAGGATAACCAATTAGTTTAATTAAAATTTTAATATATAATTAAAGTGTAATAATTTTTTCCAAAAAAACGAAAGCGATAGAATAAATGGGATAAATGAAAATAGAAAAATAGACACTTAGCCCGTAGGTGGGACGCAGGCAGTATAATAAATCAAATATTAGTTAAATAAAACACTTTCAAATTCCAATTCAACTCAAAACTCAACCGCTGACCAAATATTCTCTCCAATCAATTGTCTTTTTTTTAAAAAAAAAAAAATATAATTATAAATTTTAATTACATTTTAAAATTTATAATTTATAATTTTTTATTTTAATTAAATTATTTAGTCATCTTAATTTATAACTATTTTTATTATATCATAATTATTTTTACTAATATATTTTTTAATTATTTATTATTTACATACTTAGCTAAAGCTCTGTGCCCTCAATTAAAATAGACAAATTAAGTACTCCCTCCATCCTATGTAATATATGGGTGTATTACTTGACATAAAGTATAATTAGTAACTAATTAAGAAGTATATTAGTAAAAAAATTATTATTTAGTAAAAATAATTATAGATTAAGATTAAGACAAGTAAATAATTTAATTAAAATTAAAAAAATTATAAAATTTAAAATGCGTTAAAGTGCATAATTATATTTCCAAAAATAAAAATGACAAGTTACGTAGAACGGACGAAAATAAAAAATATGGACAAATTATGTGGAACGGATAGAATATTAGTTAACTATCCGTGTAAATTAAAGTGTTCCACCCTAATAAATTAAAGCTTTGATCTTATTCTTATTGTGTTCGATGCCGAGGGTCTCTTTATATCAACGTCACGTCAACGTCAACGTCAACAAATGTTGATAACCTAATGATGAAACAAAAGAAGAATTAACGTACAAAAGAGAATGAAAAACCCAATTGTGCAGTGTAGAGTGAAGCTTGGTGTCAAAAGTAAACCCGTCCCGAAAAATCGAACTCGTTTGACCTGAAATATTTTAGATTCGGGTTTGGGTATTTTATGTTTGAAAAAAATCGGGTCGATTCGAACCCGAAACGAAAAAAATTAGTATTGTGTTCGGATCGTGTTTCGGATTGACCTGATAACCCGAAATATAAAAATCAGATTAGGTTTTGGATTTCGTGTTTCGGTTTGACCTGAAATTTTTATATTATTATTTTAATTTATAATATTTATATTATTTTAAATATAAAATAATATAAAAATAAAAATAAAAATCAGATTAGATTTTGGATTTCGTGTTTCGGTTTGACCTGAAATTTTTATATTATTATTTTAATTTATAATATTTATATTATTTTAAATATAAAATAATATAAAAATAAAAATAAAAATGATATTTTTTAGGTCAATTTAATTTTTTTAAAAATTTTTGGGTATGTTTCGTGTCGGGTTCGTATCGGGTTTTGTTCGAGTTGCGGGTGACCTGAAACTAATTCGGGTCAATCTGAATCTGACCTGAAAGAATTCGTGTAGTGTTCGGGTCTAGAGTTTCAGGTCAGATTTCGGGTTCAGGTCAGGTTCGAGTTGACAATTTTTTGTTATCTCCATGGCTCAACCCAACACGAACACGACCAAATAACACGAATTGACACCCCTATTCATTCCGACTCGGCGATAGAATCAGTAATAAAAATTCAGGGGACAAAAATATCAATTTTTTTTTAATCGATTCAATAATTTTTTTTTATTATTATTCATAGCATATTCAGACAAAAATAAAAAAATAAAAAATCTCAACAAAACTACATAAGATTTAATATCTTTTAACTATAAAAGAAATCTAGTAAAATTTTTAAAGGCTAAAGTGTAAAATCAACATTTACTTTTTTTTTTTTTTTTTTTCCATTGTACTTAACATTACAAATATCTTTATATTTTAAATTTTTTTTTGTACAAATATCCTTCTATTAGTATTATAAGACACTAATTGAAGTATTTTTGTATTTTTTTTTTTAATTTGTACTATTTTTGAATATAATAATTAATATTTAAAAGAGACTTTAAAACCGGACAAAAATAGTACTCCCTCCGTCCCTATACAATAGTCTTGTTTACCATTTTTGTCTGTCCGTCCCAATACAATAGTCTTGTTTACCATTTTTGTCCGTCCCAATACAATAGTCTTGTTTACCATTTTTGTCCGTCCCAAAATAATAGTCTTATTTCCATAAATAACTATATCACTATAAAACTACTCTTATTTTATTGCCATTATTTTTTACACTAATACACTTACAAGAGCAAAAAAATCTTTTACCCTTACTTTTTATCTACTACTAATATAATATCAATATTTCTTAAATCTTGTACTAAAACTCAACTCAGACTATAATTTTAAAACGGAGAGAGTACATATTTTGGGGGCTGGGATTCAGGTGCCCTCTTAGCTCCCACGTTGATCTGCCTCTACTTCAACTCATAACATTAATATAATATAATTAAAATAGGTGGTCTTGTTCATGTTTTTATTGTACTATTACATATGATATTTTTTTTGAAAAAAATAAAATAAAAATGATGAATAATAAAAATTAGAAGAAGAAAAAAAAAATGCACAGAAACCCTAAATTGTGATTAATAATGAATGATAAAAAATTGGGTATCATTAGATATTTTCTTTAGGGTTTAGATCTATGACTCTTTGAATAATTGAATAATTAAATAAATTGAGATTGAATCCTACTACCCAATCTCTTATTCAATTATTATTCATGTCTGTCTTGTGACATTGTAATTTTTATTTTTTATTTTTATTTTTTATTTCCTAGAATCATTAGGATTAGGTATCATTGGCCTACCTAAGATTTCATTCTGATTCTTTTGTGCTATTCTTTCATTTTTAATTTTTTAACTTTTAATTTTTGTTTTTGATTATCTATATTATAATATGTATGTCTTGATATAAGTATATATATATAAACAATTTTATATATATATATATATATATTTTTTTATCAATAACAATACATTAGAACATGATAAAAAGAAGGAGTATTTAGGTTGGGGATTATTGAAAATAAAATAATTTTAATCATTTATAAATTCACATTTTCTAGAACTTCATTTAACTTGTCAATAAATCAGTTCTTATTGAACTTTTTGGGTGTAGTTGTTCTTTTTATATTTTTCACATGTTTTTCTAAAAAACATTTATATATTACATACAAATATTATTTTTATATTTCTACATTCACTGTGTTTCTCATAATTGTTTTTTTTTTTTTTTTTCCAACAATCTTACAAAGCAAACACATTCTACAAATATTTTGAAAAATATCAAAGTAAATAAATGCTTAGAATGAAAGACATATTATAAAGAAAAAACATATGAAATGTCTATTTATATGTAAAATAAATTTTTTGAAAAATATCAATGTAAATAAATGCTTAGAATGAAAGACATATAATAAAAAAGAAACATATGAAATATTTATTTATATGTAAAATAAAAATTTTGAAAAATATCAACGTAAATAAATGCTTAGAATGAAAGACATTATAAAAAAGAAACATATGAAATATTTATTTATATGTAAAATAAAAATTTTGAAAAATATCAACGTAAATAAATGTTTAAAATGAAAGACATACTCATTCCGTGAATGTAAAAAGACTAAATTAACTCTATTAGATTAAATGATATAAAGATAATGATATTTGTGTAATATATTGTAAATTATAAGGATATTTGTAATGTTAGGTACATTGCTAAAAAAAAGAAAATAAATATTTTGTTATGTGAACAAACCAAAATAAAAAAAATGGATAAATTGTTAAGATGGAGAGAGTATTATAAAAAAGAAACGTGTTAAATGTCTATTTATATCTAAAATAAAAATTTATAATATTCTTATAGTCAAACCCATCCCTCAAAGAAATGGAGTATATTCAACATAATAGACTCGTACAATTAAATAAAGTGACATTTTTTTTTTATGTATGTGATAAACAAAGTTCAAGATTGTACCAAAATAAATTTTAATAAGTCAAACTTAGTTATTTAATTAATTAAACTTTGTGATGTAATGTATGGAGAAATATATGTATTTAATATAATATTTTAAAAAATATTATTTTCTTCTTCGACAAAAAATTATACCATCATCTCCACCCGGCAGGAACTATGACATCACCCAAGGGCACTTTCGGCATCCAGGGTTCACGGATCGACGATGGAACCCTGTTCAATAAGTGGAACACATTAGTTGTGCGTTCACTGTCACTTTTATTTTTTGAAAAATGATTACATTTAATTTTATTTTAAATTTTCTAATTTAATTTTTTTTTAAATTTTAATTAAACTAATTAATTATCTTAATATTAATATATAATTTTAAAATAATTATTTTTGCTAATATAAATTTAATTATTTAAAATATCAAAATTTCAATATATATATATATTGAGAGAGGATTTGGAGTGTGTTTATTTAGAAGGTTTTCAATAATTTTAATTATTCATCAAATTTTTTATTTTAAAAATATTAAATTAAATATTAAAAATTAATTTTACATTCAAAATATTACATAACATTTGTAATGTTATATCATATCATACCATTATTCTAATTCAAAATTTTTACAATAAAATTTAATTCAAAATCCAAACCCGCCTATTCAAATAAACCAAAAGGACCCCAAAAATGAAGCAAAAATAACCCTTAAAAAGGGTGTGGTGTGATTTATTTCGAGAATTACAATTATAACATATGAGGATCAGTTCTTTGGATGGATCTTTACAAAACCTACCAACCAAAATAAAATTAAAAAAAAAAAAAAAGAAAAGAAAAGAAAAAGTCCAATCAAGCTTTGTTCAATAATTTCTCAACAACTCAGCTCTCTGAATTGAGAAAACAAAAGAAAGAAAGAAAGAAATAAAATAAACGTCCAAAAATGGCTACCTGAAAATACCCACAAAAATGGGTTCTTGAAGGTCGACAACAATGGCGGATTGGGAACAACATTATTTCTACTTACACTTCCCCTAAGTAAAACTATGCACAGCTTCTCCATATTCTCCCCTCCAAAGAAATCACAATAATCGACACGTCGTCGTGGTATCGACGCCGGTCCCCTTGAGGTATTTCGAGCAGTTCATGGAAGTCCATACCTATGACAAATCGAAAATATATATAGATTCAATTATCGAGTGTTTGCATTCGCAGCGCAGAAATATAAGTCGTGTTACTCTACTATGAAAAAAAAAAATAATACTTCCTCTGTCCGCCTCTACGAGTTACATTTACGTTTCATTTTGCATCATTCTACTTAATATTAGAAATATATTTATATATATATATAATTTTTTGTACAAATATTATACTACATCGGTCCCATAAAAAGGACAACATTTGTCTTTTGCTTCATTGTACTTAACGTTGAAAATATCATTATATTTGTATAATTTACTCCACAAATGTCATTGTATTTGTATTATAAGAGACTAATAGAAGTATTTTTGTTATTTTCTTTTGATTTGAACTACTTATTGATATAGTAATTAATATTCAAAAATCAACATGCAAAAAACTCATGGGACGAAGGTAGTATTAGTATTATAAGACACTAATAGAAGTATTTATGCTCTTTTTCCTTAATTTTACTCCCTCTGTCCCATATAATATGAACGTATTACTGTCGGGAATTTAAGAAAGTATAATTATTAAGTAATTAAAAAGCGTATTATTAAGATAACTAAATAATTTAACAAAAATTATAAAATTTAAAATTCGATTAAAGTATATAATCATTTTTCCAGGAAAAAAAAAATTATATGGGACTGACCAAAATAAAAAATATAAACAAATTATGTGGGAAGGAGGGAGTACTACGTTTTGATATAATAATTAATATTTAAAGATCAACACACAAAAAATAAATATGACTCTTAGAGCCTCAACACGCAAAAAATAAATGACCCTTAGAGCCGGACGGAGGTAATGTAATAATAACTTACCGGCTCTTTTTGCCGCGCGAAAAAGCAATTCTTCGACGAGATGCTGCGCAGGGTCGCCCTCGGGCGACCATGAGAGGAATAGCTCGACTTCAGACACAGCTTCTTCGTTCGTGAAGTATTGATAAAGTCCGTCCGACGACAATATGAGGAAGCGATCGCGTAGCCCCAATCTGTGATGGTAAAGCGAAGGGAGGCAATTTATGTACGGATAGGTTCCGACGTAGTCGATTCTAAACATCTCGAGAAGGGCATTGTTCCATTTAGGCTGCAAAAACAATACCCGAGTTAGCTACAAAAACATCCAAGAATTCGAGCAATATTCCCCTGCTAATTGATACTGATTTGACCAAATCAACATATATAACAAAGATAAATAACGTATATTTCTATATAGCATAACATATATTGTATTATAAATATATATATGTTGATTTGACTCAATCAGTAGATCCATTTCTACAATACAAAAATCAACATTCGCGCAAAAATGCCGTGTATCTCTCAACATTTTCGTGTATTTGTAAGATCTCGAAAGTCTCTAGAACTTTCTAATCTACGTTTTCGATTCATTTTTATACAAAATCTTGATGTTTGGCCCCGGAAACGGTATAAACTCAAAGTAAAGGCGTCGCTCGAATCGAACTTTCTATGTGGACGAGAAGCACAATACCAAAACATAAACTATCTTTATCAAACGAAGAATATACTTCTAAATATGGCAATAGAAACCTCGACGATTCGACTTCAATCAAAAGCAAGAACACATAACAATTACCACTCGATTCCTAAAACATTTCGATGCCACGCCACGGTCAATTTAAGAATCTTCTTTATAATGTATCATTTTCGTGCGCTTAAAGATCAAACCAAACTTATAATTCGACGCTAGAACATACCTGCTTGAGGAAACCGGCGCCAAAAGCTCGGGTGACCTTCAACGATCCTTTCACACGGTCGTTGATCACCGCGCAAGCGTCGTCCCGATGCTCGTTTTTAATCCTTTCAACTTCCTAATTACAAATGACACAAAACACACAATGCACAATCGAATCATCGACAATAAACCAACATAGATAAACGATAATTCGCGTCGAATAGGGCCTCGTTTTTTACCTCGTCGATTGAGGTGCTATGATCCATACTAAGCTGCAATGCCGTTAGGCTCGGGAGATCATCGCTAACGTCGCCATCGAATCCCTCGAGCTCGTTAACGGTTTCTTCCTTAATCCTCTCCAAGTCTTGGCTCCAAAGATTCGGCTCCTCTTTTCGACCGAGCACGGCGCGGCTATCGCCGACGTTCATTACGTACACGTCCTCGCCCTTCATCAACGTCACGAGCACGCACGATCCCATCAACGCGAGTTCTGGATTCTCCACAACCATCTTGTCCGCGAGGTCGAGATACGCCTCCTCGGTTTTCCTCAACGCGTTCGATAGAGCCTTGAGCACGTCGGAATGATTCGCGGCCGTATTCGACGGCCGAGATTGCTCCTTTAACCTCCGGTCGAGCTCTAATCGCTCGCGATCCCATTCGCACCGCCACCGCCGCTGATTCTCCTCCCATTTCTTTGCCACGCCGGGATACTTGTTTTTGGCTATTTTACCCTTCCTTCTCTTGTGCCAAACTTCACCGGGATAGCTCTCCGAGCAGCCGCCGCCATTTGTCCGGTCTTCGGAATTATCGCTGTCGTTAACGGCGGTGGCGGAGGAGGAATCGGGCTTGATGTTGTCGTCCCAGAGTAAGCCTTTGAGCTCTTTATGGACATTGGGATATAAATTGGTGAGGAGATAGTCCGGTGCATCTGGGCCGTTGAATCCGTCGTAGATTCCGACGAAGACCCAGCCGTGCTCCTCGGAGACGACGACATGGACGCGATCCTCGCCGGCTTTTCCTTGGGCCCATTGGAGATTTTGAGATTCTAACGAAACGTCGTCGTCTAGGCTGCACTCGCTGCTGAAATTTACGCTGCTGTTGACTGTTAATTCGTTTTGTTTTGCCCAATCGGAGTCCTTCGCCGCCGCCGCGGCGGCGGCGGATTTGATCGGCGCGACAATGGAGTTCTGGCCTTTGGAGAAAGCGCGACGGAGGGCCCGGAGAAGGGATAGGGAGAGGTTTTTGGATCTAGGGCGGAAGGCGAATCCGCCATGGGAGAAGCTCCGGTGGAGGTGCCCGGAGAAGCCTTTTTCGATGGGGCCGGACATGAAAGCTCGCTCGATGGGGCCGGACATGAAGCCGCGCTCGATCGGACCGGAGTTGAAGAGGGGGCCGGAGTGGATGGAGGAGTTTCTGGGGATGGGCTGGAGGGGGATGGCGGCGAAGGAGGTGGAGCTTTCGAAGGCGGAGGCGCGGTCGACGGCGGTCTCGGAGTAAAGGTCGAGCAAGGCGGTGGAGAGAGGGGTGGAGGTGTTGGCGCTGACGGCGGCGCCGGAGATCGACCGGAACATGGCCGTCGGAGCCTCGTCGGACTCGGAGAACACTTTGGAAGACGACGACGGCAGCCGCGAGAGCTCGGGGCGGACGTAGCAGAAGGAGTGGCCGAGATCGTCGATCGGGTCGGAAACCGCCATAGCCGCCGCCATCTCCTTCCTCCGCCGCCGCACGTCGTCCGCCGTCTGGTTTCCGACTCCGGTGAAGCAGACGGTCAGCTTCCCCGCGCCGTTTCCCATCTCCTCCTAATCGAACCAATCTTTCCCCCAAATCAAATCAAATTAAAACCCTAAATTGAGATCAAGAATCCCCAAATTCTACAAGATTGTGAAAAGGAGGAAGAAATCTAGAAAAAGGGGTGGGGGACAAAGGAGGTTGACTTTGAAGGTATGGTGTGGTGTTCAATTGAGGAGGGGGTGTGTGAATGATGACTTGGTGGGTTTCCCTTTGTTTGTATTGGAGGAAGCACAGAAATTTCCCATTTCCCATTTTCCCATTGCCATACGGGGGTGGGGCGGGTGGTAGGGGGGTGGGTAATGGTAGTAATGGTGATGGTAATTCACCATTTTAACCAATACATATCTATCACATGTGTATATGTGTATGTACATATGATTGACTAAAGGGTGGGGTGGGGTGGGGTTTGGGGGGCGAGGTGGGCAGCGTTAAGCTTTAATGAAATCATCAATGGTGGGAGAGGGGCGTTGACTGAGCAGCTCAACTTCACCCTCATTAATGACCCCAAAAAACCAGTCCACATCAACCTCACCCTCGGCTGTATCTCCTCCACGCGCACCCCGGCGCGTGGTATCACTGCTCCGTTTTAACATCAATGGTGTCAACTTTTCTTTCAAAGTGTTGAATATACACCGTCGAATAATAATAACCCGTTGTTCTCATACACTATTTTTATTAGTTTATTTTTATACTACAACTATTTAAAACAATTATATATATATATATATTTATTATAAACTCAAAATTTTAAAATACAAACGCGTTCATTTGTCTAGAAATTTTTTTTAAGGGTGTTTTTTTTTAAATTTTGAATTGAGATTTAAATGGTAAAATTTTTAAATTATCTGATGTGATATAAATAGATATTGATGTAATATTTAAATATAAAATTAATTTTTAAAATAATATAAAAAATAAAAAATAAATGTTAAATTTTATATTTTTGGAGAAAAAGTTTTGGATAAATAGTGATTTTTTTGCAAGATCTCTCGAACAAAAAGAAATTCAATACCATTCAAAAACAGAAATATATTTATTATATTAAATATTTTTATATATATAAAATTACATAAAATATCCATTGTTTTGTCATTTTTAATTTTTTTTCAAAACTTCAAATTTTTTATAAATAAAATATTAGAAGTGTTCACTAAATATGAAATTTTCTACAAAGTTGTTAATTAATATAAGAAAATAAAACACACATATACACACACCACATCTATATAATATGAGCACATTTTTTAATTCCAAAAAAAATATTTAATTATTTAATATAAAATATTATTTTTTATATTATCAATATATTTTTCATAAGAAAAGTTTAATTTTAAAAATAATAAATAAACACAGTATTTCAATAATTTATATTATTATTTAATAAAATTATAAATGAGCGATAAAATTGTATTTTATTAGCTAAAATTATTTTCAATTATTTTATAATCTTTTTTTTCCGTTCAAACAAAATTATATCTTTTTTAAAAACAATATAAAAAAATATCAAAAGTAAAACCATAAAAAAATTACTAAATAAAAGCAATTTTAAAATGTGAAGATTTGAATCAAAATTGGAATCTCGAAAAACACGACGCATTCAATATTATAAGTCAAACCAAAATTTGACTTTCAACTATTCTTTAAAAAGTAAATTAATCAATATTGCTTTTTAAGTCTTTAAAATATATTTACGACGACATTTGAAATTTGATAAATAATAAATAATACTCCACCTCTTTCCTATACTTGTGTTCGTATTTTAGGAGATATGTAATTAGTAAATAATTAAAAATTTATTAGTGAAAATAATTATTATATAATATAAATAATAATAAATTGATATTAAAATAACTAATCAGTTTAATTAAAATTAAAAAAATAAATTAAAAAGTTTAAAATAAAATTAAAGTGTGTAATATTTTCTAAAAAAGGAAAGTCACATGAAATATGGAACGGACAGAAACAGCAACATGAACATGGTACGTGGGACGTAAGGAGTATTATAGAGTGGGTGAAAGTTAGGGTTATGATGAGGACCAAATTAGCAAAATCAAAGCGAAGTAATTAACATATGTTGTGTTATTATATATTATATTAATATTTGTTATTTTTCTTTATTTGATCAAAATATTATTACGTTGAAATCATAATATATTTTGCTGAAATTCAAATATATTTTGTTATATGTATTTACATAATATGCTATTAAAATGTGTGTTCTATATTATATTAATAATTACTTTTTTTTTTTTTATAAATACTTGTTTATTTGATCAAATAAACACTATGTTAATTTGATTCAATCAATGCGATAACTGAAGCGTATTGAATGACTTCAAGATTAGAAAATGTGACAAAAATGTATTTAAATAAAAGAAACTCTCATTGGTAGATTTTATGATATGTCTATCTAGACTAACAATTATGGCTAATCATACTTAGCCTAATTGAATAAATTAAATGCATATTAAGTTAGAATTTTAATATAAAAGAAATAGGAGTTGTCAATGTGATTCTTAGACGAATTTTGAGAAACGACAAATGTATTGTGCTAACTCTATCTCGCTATATTGAGAAAGTTCAATGTGTTTGATAATACAACAACAAAAACTCTCATAGACCCAAGTGTTTACCTAAGAAATATAAAGATGATCCAGTGTTTGGGAAGAATATGCCAAAATAATCGAAAGCCTAATGTATCTAACCGTACACGGTTCAATCTAGCTTGTTCAATGAACAAGTTGAGTCGCTACACCAACAACCTAAATCATAAACATTGAAAGTCACTAGTAAGAGTCTTGAAGCACTTAAAATACACTTTTGACTTTGGTATACATTATACAATATATCATCCAATGCTTGAAATATTTTATGATGCCAACTGAATATTTTGCACCAAAGATTTATTGTCTACAAAACGAATATATTTTCACCAGCGTAGGTGGAGCGGTTTCATGAAAATTTAAGAAACAAAATTATATAGTCTTATCCATTATGAAGTTAAAATTTATGACTTTAAATGAAGTCGGTGGACAATATTCTATTCTGAACAAAGTCAGTACCTCATGTAATAATATATTGTGATAACCAAGCTACAATAGTAAAGATTAAAAATAAAATTTATAATGGTAAGTACCGAATATCCAGCGTAAAGACAATATTGTGAGACAATTGATCACTAGTGAGATTATGACTGTTGATTATGTTAGGTTAATGAAAAATCTTGCGAATCTGCTAATCAAAGGGTTACATCGTAATCAAATATACAAACTACTAAAAGAAATAAGTCTAAAATCCACAAGTTGGAGACAATTACATGGATAACCCAACCAAATCACTTGGAGATTCTAAACATTGATTCAATGAGAAAACTAAATTGTAATAGCTCGACACAAATACTTAATCACTATTCTCTGAAAAACGAGTGTTATTAAGTGCAAAATGGTGATGTTGAGTCATTAAATCTTAATAATTCTAAAAGTAAAATTAGATACTTTAAGATATAATTATCTTTATAAATGTGAAGTAAAAGTCGCTTCAAGTGAAATACTTATGAATCCAAATATACGATCTATGGCTGAAAAAGATCAGAATATGAGAACAAAATAAGATTGAGATAATGACATACTAAAATGTACATCAATGTTGAATAGTTTAATGCATCGTGTCAATTAGGCCACCAATGCATACAGTGATATTGACTAAGGAAAGCTCAAAACCCAAAGTACCTATCCTGACATGTCGATGTTTCTAGAACTGAATTGTATATTGTCTTAACTTTGGGCATTTTCACTCAGCAAAGATTCATGCAGAAGATTACAGAGTTACAACTTTACAAACCCTTTTCAATATAAACAAATAAAACAACACAAAACAATGTAATATATGGTGTTGAAAGTGGGTTATGTTTGGGTTTTTTTTTTTTTGGGTTTTTCGTTGATATTGTTTGCAAATAGGCTAAACAACGTGCGGACAAAAATGGCTCAATTTGTTTGAACCGAACCAAACAAGCAATTGACCTAAAAAATGAATCAAAATTGATGAAGATCCAATATAATTGATCGAAAAAGTTAGCTGGTCTGCATCACATGTTAAATCTAAAAATCGATTGTAAGGAAAAGATAGTGGAATAATAGATTCCATTCTTTATTGGATTTGTTAGGTGAAATATTCTTGTGTTTTAGATTTAGCTTGATAATAAAAAAGTGAAAGATGGTGAGGTAAGTGAAGATAGATTTTTGAGAGAATAAATAGAAAATTATAAATGTAATTCCTTTAGGGAAATATGAGACAGTTTGCAGGTTTCTCGGGTAGTAGGGAGAATAATGTTTTAGAGTTGGGAATATTCAAGAAATTGCAGAGGGTGATTTCTTGGGTGGAGTAACTGCGGTTATATTTATGAATCCTAATGTAGGTTGTTGATGACCGAACAGAGTTATTATTTCGCTCTATTTTTGTTATTCTCTGTCAGCAGTATGTGTATGTGTATTTGTAGTATGATCGGAATTTTCTATAAATTTTGTTCTTAGTGCTGAGATATTGCTGCTGTTTGATTTTGATCGAATTTGGGGCCAAGACATTGATTACCCATTACACCCATGATGTCCTCCTCAAAGACACAATCACAAGATTTCAACTACAAAATTCTTGCTATGTTGTTTGGACATTTTCGATCATAGTCTCCTTCGCCTTTTTCCCACCAATCTTTCCTCTTCATGGACATGACCAAATATTAACTTGAATGATCAATACCAAACTTTCTTGGGGAACAATTTGTGGCTTCAAATTCTTTCAACAATGATGAATGGGAAGAGACCCAAACAAAACAGACAAATTCCTCTAGGATTATCTATATCAATACATAAGTTATTAACTCGAAATTCTTCCAAAAATTATACTTCCTCCGTCCAATTTCTATTATCCTAAAGTATATTTACACGGTTTTATAAGTGATTGTCTTTTTTGTTATAAATTGACAAATTTGCCTTTAAGTGTATGATATAAATTAAAAGTAATAAATGAATGAAGGGTAAAAATGTAAAATTTGTATTTAAAAAATGAAATAGGACAATAGTTGTTGGACGTCCCAAATAGAAAAATATGATATTAGTTTGTGGACTTAGGGAGTATTAATTTTTTTGTTTTTCAAAGATGAGAGTAAACTTCGATTAAAAAAAAAACAAAAAAAAATATAAAACACATGTTCTTGACCTTAAAAAAAAAATTAAAGGATTGAAAATTTATCCAAGTTTG